AAGGGAACATTCATGTTTATTAAATAGAATACTTTATTAACAAACTTGTCAAAACAGCATTTGCTGGCTCTAAACATATTCCCCATATGTTATTCAGCTACCAGTGTTCACTAGATATGTTCTCAGTTACCAGATAGTTTTGGACCCCTCATACATATTTTTCTGAATAAATTTATTGTTCACAAAAAAATGACATGTCCTCAGGATGCATCTGGCAAGGTGGTTTCAGTAGAGACAAGGAAGTGCTGGCACCATTGCCAGAGGCATTGGTGGGATGTTCTGCAGTTCTGGTGACCCCAGTGCAAAGAAACAGATTTAAATTTGAAAAGTTGCTGAATGGTAAAGTAGAGGGGGAGACCATCTTGAGAGACATTACAAGAGTTCGGTTGGTTTAGTGAAATGGAGATAGGGAGACAAAAGTGTTAGCCCACTGTAGAAACATTCAGGAGAAACTGTCAAGGAAGAAGAATAATTCTTTTTCTTCAGTGATAATGCAGGTATGATATAAAATGCATATAAATTGCACATTAACAAACTTAGGCTCTGAAGTTACAAGAACAGTTCAATCTGTAAAAAAAAAAAAAAAAAAAATCTTCTGGAATAACTTTCCAGATAATATAGTGGCAACTGAAATTGCTCCTAGGTGGAGTTAGCAGGTGTGGAGAATGACCATATTGCTGAGAATACAAGCTTGTGAGGTTGGTCCTTTAGTGTCTGGTTCATTGATACCTTAAAGACAGATTGAGACAATGCCCAGCTGCTGCTTCTTGCTCACATCTGTTTGCCCAGTACTTAAATGAAATCAGATGCTTCCCTTATCATCAGGAGCTCTGCTGGTTGTCTGCAGGGAACAGATAGGTTGTTTCACTGCCTTGCGTGGGGGTTGGGGGAGGTCAGATCCATATCTTGCTTGCTGCTGAAGCCTGACTGAAGAGGGTTTACTGGTGCTCCTTATAGTGTTGTTGGTCTACTTATATTGTCAGGGGAGTGGGAGCTGCTATCCCCTTCTGTTTGTGGTAGAGCCCATACTTTTTTGGGGAAATTTCACCTGTAAAGGAGAGTTAGTCAGACCTGCGAATAATTGCAGGGACTTGGGACACTAGCAGTGCCTGTTGTCTCTCTTGCAGCACATTGTAATTGTGACTCCTTTATTGTATTTAAGGTTTGCTGAGGGCATAGGATAGTCTTGTCCACATCTGAGCTCAGAAGTGCTCCATGCAAATAAGTTCCTCTGGGATTTTAGTAAGCCTGAACTATAGCAAGTTTGCAGGCAGCACAAAACTGTGAGGAGCTGTTGACTCCCTCAAAGGCAGGGAGGCTCTGCAGAGAGACCTCGACAAATTAGAGGACTGGGCAAACACCAACCATGTGAAGTTCAGCAAGGGAAAGTGCCAGATTCTGCATCTGGGATGGGGCAACCCTGGATGTACATACAGAGGGGGGAATGAGGTCAATCGTTGATGGCAAGTTGAATATGAGTCAGCAGTGCCCTGGCAGCCAGGAGGGCCAACTGTGTCCGGGGGGGCCTCAGGCAAAGAATCGCCAACCGGTAGAGGGAGGGGATTGTCCCACTCTGCTCTGCACTGGTGCAGCCTCACCTTGAATATTGTGTACAGTTTTGGGCACTGCAATGTAAGGATACAAAACTCTTAGAGAGTGTCCACAGGAGGGCAGCAAAGATGGTGAAGGGCTTTGAGGGGAAGACATATGAGGAGCAGCTGAGGTCATTTGGTGTGTTCGTCCTTGAGAAGAAGAGACTGAGGAGACACCTCACTGCGGTTACAACTCTCTCCTGAGGAGAATCAGAGGGGCAGGCACTGATCTCTTCTCTGTGGTGACTAGTGACAGGACCCGAGGGAAGGGCCTGAAGTTGTGTCAGGGAAAGTTTAGGTTGGATATTAGAAAAAGGTTCTTCACTCAGAGGGTGTTTGGGCACTGGAACAGGTTCCCCAGGGAAGTGTCATGGCGCCAAGCCTGCCACAGTTCAAGAACTGTTTGGACAATGCTCTCAGGCACATGATGTGACTCTTGGGGATGATCCTGTGCAGGACTAAGGATTGGACCCGAATATCCTTGTGGGTCCCTTCCAGCTCAGCATATTCTGTGATTCATATGGTTGGTCAGTTCCTTTTTGTATGCTGTCTTCAACTGATACATCACAAAACATAGCACAGCTCATTAAGGAGGGTAAGATTGGAGGCTGCATGGGCTGTACTGTCCATACCCTGGTTTAGTTTGTGATCTCAAGCAACAATGGCAAAGAGCAACATCAGGACCTTAAACTTCAGAAGAACAAAATTCCAGCTGTTTAAAATATTAGTGGATGAGATCCCCTGGGAAACTGTCCTTAGGGACAGAGGAGCTGACCAGAGCTGGCAGCTCTTTACAGACACTTTACTTAGAGTACAAGAGTTCTCCATTTCAGTGTATAGGAAATCAAGCCAGGCAGGCATGGCTGAGCACAGATCTGCCTCTCAAACTGAGGAGCAAGAAAGAAATTCAGAGTCTGTGGAAGGCAGGGACATGTGGCCTGGAAAAGAGTACAGGGGTGCAGTTCAGATGTGTCCCTACACATGGGATCAGGAAAGCTAAGGCACAGATGGAATGGGATTTGGCAAGAGATATGAAAAATAACAAAAAGGGATTCTATAAGTACATAGGTAAAAGAAGAAAGGCCAAGGATAGTCTACCCCGCCTGATAAAAGAGAAAGGAGAACTCGTAACAAGGAGGTGATCCAAGACAGGCCAGCATGACTTCACTAAGGACAAATTGTGCCTGCCCAATCTGGTGCCCTTCTACGATGGAGTGACTGCAGCAGTTGACATGGAAGACCAACTGATGTCATCTACCTAGACTTCTTTAAGACCTTTGACATGGTCCCATATGACATCCTAACCTCTAAATTGAAGAGAGATGGATTTAAACAGTGGACTGTTCAGTGGATTGGGATGTATTAGCTGGATGGATGCAGCCATAGGATTGTGGTCAATGGCACTACATCCAGGTGGAGGCTGGAGAAAAGTGGTTTCCCTCACAGCTCTGTCTTGGGACTGGTGCTCTTTAATATCTTCATCCATGGCATAGACAGCGAGATTGAGTGCGCCTTCAGCAAGTTTGCAGGTGACACAAAGCTGAGCAGTGCAGTTGACACAACAGAAAGATGGGATGCCATCCAGAGGGGCCTGGATAAGCTTGCAAAGTGGACCCATGGGAACGTCATCAAGTTCACCAGGTCGAAGTGTAAGGTCCTGCACTTGGGTTGGGGCAATTCCAGACCTGAGTACAGACTGGGAGATGAGCTCATCATGAGCAGCTGTGCAGAAAAGGACTGCAGGGTTCTTGTGGATGAAAAGCTGGACAGGATCCAGTAACATGCGCTTGCAGCCCAGGAAACCAACCACATCCTGGGCTGCATCAAAAGCAGCATGGCCAGCAGGTTGAGGGACAAGATTCTACCCCACTCTTGGGAGACCCCACTTGAAACAGAGCATCAGCACAAGAAGGACTTGGATCTGCTGGAGTGAGTCCAGAGGAGGGACACAAAGATGATCAGAGGGCTGGAGCACTTCTCCTGTGACAACAGGCTGAGAGAGGTGGAACTGTTCAGCCTGGAGAAGAGAAGGTTCCAAGGAGATCTTATTGCAGCATTCCAGTACTTACAGTGGGGCTTATAAAAGAGAGGGAGAGCAACTTTTTACATGGGCAGATAGTGATAGGACAAGGGGTAATGGTAATTAGGACTAGGTGTAAAGAATTTTTTTACAATGAAGGTGATGAGGCAGTGGAACAGGCTGCCCAGAGAAGTTGTGGGTTCCCCATCTGTGGAAGTGTTCGGGCCAGGTTAGACAGGGCTTTGAGCAACCTGGTCTAGTGGGTGTCATCCCTGTCCATGGCAGGGGAATGTGAACTGGTTATTTTTACGGTGCTTCCAGTCCAGGCAAGTCTATGATTCTATAGAATATTACTGAAGCTGTTAGTCCACTGTATGCGAATGCAAATATTTCTCAGTAAATTGACTGTATGCTGAGAAGGGGCTTGGTGTTATGTCTGCACCCAGACATGGCATCATTAGGTTGTGCTGCACACAGTTGTAACTTGGTATGGACTTGCTAAATTGCCTCCAAGTGTCTTTGCTGATTGCCTTTGATTTTGGACAACTCAAGTCAGCTGGCTTGTACAGACCATTATGTTTCATTTTAAGCTTAACTTTCTGAATATGTGATTTAACTAAATTTTGCTGCCCTGTCACATTGTATTTTGATAACAGGCCTTAGCTTCTACTGAACAGTGATAAGTTTTCCACTTGTATCATTTTCATGCAAGCAACAGAGAGGCTGCATACATGTAGAGGATTAATCCTAGAGAACTTGATGCTCTTTATAAGGTAGCAACAACTTTCATAATACTTGGTGGGCCCTGAAAACCTAATGAATTACCTGATGGACCTTAAAGACTCACTTCTCTGCTCCTGGCCACCAATCAGCTTATGTGATCACTAGCAGGTGACAGTCCCTTGGTTACAGGCACTCTGAATACCACTTCCTTCTCCAAGACATTGCTTGTCTCTGGCATGAGCAAGACCCTCCTCTGTCTGTTTTTGAGTGATGTTTCAGTTTTGTATATTACATGTGTGAGGTACCAGTAAAAGCTCCTTCATCTCCTTTCTAACTAGTGCTTGCATAAATGTAACTGTATGCTGAGGTGAGAGAGAAGCAAATGGGAGACAAGTTACATGGAACCACTAGAGTAATATCTGACTTAATTTATGTTAAGTTTTCTATCACACAGAAAACTTCTTGGGACTTATTACATAACCATGTAATTGCAGTGTAGCACAAGAAGGAAAAACATTCTGCAGCCTCAGTGGAGATAAAAAAGAAAATGGAGTAAAGTCTCTTCAGTTCTATTGTATCTATCTCAGTGTTATCTTTCTCTAGGCCTCTCAAACCCTGTGGTCTAGGTGTTTAATGCTTTCTTCTTTGTTTGTTTGTTTGTTAAGGTTCTGATATTGTGCAGTGGCTTATGAGGAACCTCAGCATTGAGGATACAGGTAAGGTGACCACAGTTGAGGAGGAGCAGGTACTCCATCTATATTGTGTGTGCTATTAGACAATAATTACTGTTTTGTTGCAGTATACAATACCAGTAAAACGACACAATTGATTTAAACATTGGAGGGAAGGAAGAGGGAAAGAGTTAGGACTCAGTATCTTAATGAAGTATACATTGCAGCACAGAGAAATATCATTGTAGGAGTTTTAGCTTGTCTGTGAAACTGTTGCTACCTAGGGAAGACTGACTGATTTTAAATTTGTTCACAGACTTAGAAAGGAAGTTGGTGTATGTGTGTGGTTAAGCAGGCAAATGCAGTAGCAGGTTTTCATGGTGAGAAGAAAGGGAGCCATGACTGGTGGGACATGCTGGCCAAGGATGACACAGACACCGTCATGGGATCAGGTGACAGCCTCCAATTTATCACAGCAGATAGGTAAATCAGCAGATAGATAAATGGATAATGAGCCATAAAGTGATCGGTGCATGGGCACAGTCCAAATAGTTCACTCTTCAGAGAAAACAAAATAATTTTGACACAGTTATGATCTATTGAGAAAAGAGGAAAAAAACATCTGCAGATCCAGAAGTTTCTTTTTCTTTTCAGGAAAGGGAAAAAATCCAGAATGTCAGCTACCAGTTTTTTTGCTGCCTTACTGTCACCATGTGAAAGCAGAGACAGAATGTTGTATCATCCAGCAGGAGATCCCTATAAACACATCCCTTCTCATTAGTCCTGTCAGGTCCCAAATATGAATTTCAGCTGCAAACAATAGCTTTATTATCTACCTGGGGGTGCATGAGCAGCTGATGTGTATTTTTCAGTTCTGAGAAAGTTGATGCAGCTTTTGACAGCTGGCATTGGTTGAAAATCTGTGCAGCTATACCTGTGTGCTGGTGAAGGTTGCCCTAGCAGCACTAGGAAATGTATTCTCCTTTGCATCTGCACCAGTTTTTCTCTAACAAGTGGCAATGCTACAGTGTCAGGATGTGTCATTATGAATAAATATCCTGCTAATGACCTGATGTTGCAGGTGTTTGTTGGATTTGTTAGAGGCAAGTGAGGTTCACTGATGGAACAGGCTTCTTGTCAGCTGTCACCTGTGGTGGATAATGTGCTTTGAAATTAATTTCATGTTCTAGAGCTGAACTAGTGTGTGACATTTTGTGAACGCAAAACTAGCAGGTTAAACTTTTGAGTGGTGCTTCATCTGTGTTGTAAAGCTGAATTCTGCACTCCTGCTTTGCATGGTTTGGTTGGAAGTAGTAAGGATGGGGTGTGAGTGCAGAGAGGCATGTGGGCACCAGATTTCACAAGTCATCACCAGAGCTGCTGTTGAAAGCAGAGAAATGTGCAGTGCACATCTTCCTGATACTTCCCTGCATTTTTCTCTCTTTCACAGGAGAAGCAATACACTTGGGAAGTCTCATTGCTGCACAAGGTTATGTCTTTCCAATCTCAGACCATGTCCTTACCCTGAAAGATGATGGGACATTCTATCGTTTTCAGGTTGGTGAGCCCTCTGACTCCCTTGTGGCCCCTTCCACTGTCCCGGCGGTAATACAGCTGACACTGCCCACCCTTTATTCCTGAGCAACCATTAGGTCTATGAAGCCAGGGATTGCAGCTATCTTGGTAGAGGCCTTAGGAAGTTATGAAGTCTTTTCAAAAAGATCTGCTTTAAAATTGCAAATTACATTCTACTACTTTCTTACCTACAGTTTTTACATAAATTGATGGGTATGTCCTGTGATTATTTTTGATACATTATTTCAAGGCTGTTGTACTCAGATTTGAACTAAGCCAGGAGAAAGAAAATGGCTTTCAGGCTCTAACTCTGGCACAGAATTGAGTAGCCATTCTTCTGTGCAAAATGGAGGGCAAACTTAGGAGTTGGACATTCAAGCTTTGGCACAGCAGAAAATTCCAAGTTTTACCCTCTCTTGCTTGCAGATTGGTGTGGGAGGGGGCAAGCTTCAGACTTTGGCTCTTTACAAAGGATGTGTAACCTTGGCAGTCACCTAAACTGGGACATCTATATCCCTCAGTGTCCCTGTGCCTCCAGATGTGCTGAATTTTTAAAGCATCCTGTGCTTGAGTTCTATGCCCTGTCCAAAGTCTGCCACTGTCAGCTTCTTAGATAACTGAGTGCTTGTGCTACAACAACTCCTTTTGGACAGATTGTATAACTTTAGAAGAAGCGGTAAGTCCAAACCTGGAGTCCTACTGCCTAATCCTGCTGTCTGAATTTGTGTTTTTCTGTTACATGATCTCAGCCAGATCCCTTATCTTTCCTGCGACCTCTTTTCTGTTCACCCTGCTGTTCCTCCTTTACATTTTTCCCTCTTTTTTAGCTTTTATTTGTAAAGCTGGTTCTGCACTTTGCATCTGATGTTGCTGCTGCTTGTTCTCACTGTCCTGCTAATGTGGTATTGTATTATCATATGTGACCAATATCATGGTGAACAAAGAATCCCAGGAGATCACAGACCTCCTCTTATCTCACCCCACCTTCTGGTTACCACACATCATTCAGACACAAATTTTTCATAGCAGTTCCTTTTCTTTTCTGAAAGTTCTGCTTTCCTGTCGTGTAAGATGTGACAGAAGCAGGGGCAATACTGATTGCCCATTTAGCTGTATTTTTCTCTTTTTTAAAAGGATGACACTGTAAGAAGTTGTCCTGTGCAGCTCTTAGGAGCTACATTTCAATATAATATAATTTTCCTTTTCTTGTTTTAAGTCTCTGTAAGCCACATCATCAAACTGACTGCTTGTTGACTTTTTTCCTTATCTTTTCTTACAACTTTTTCATATTCCTTGCTTGTTGTCATTTCTTGCAACAGACCTCCTCAGATGTTTTCTGCAAAAATAACCTGATAGAATCACGTTTCCTTTCCACTACTCTCATCTTGCTACTTTTTACCTCAACATCAGTCCCTCCTTTAACAGTAGCTCTTCATATTCTGAAGTTCATAAGATATATATAATTGAGGAGTATTAAACCCTGTATTATTTGAATACTCTGTGTTTTCTCACTGTACTTTGGTGCAAGGAATAGTCTATGTGTTAATGTCCTATGCCCATCTGTGGCCTTACATCAGTAGTGCAAAGCAGTGTTCTGTAATTTGTGTGATCACTGGGACATTATTTTTCATTTATGTTAAATCTGAAATACAGCCACATACAGTAATATCTTGTAATTAATTGTAGCAACGGCAATATGCAGACCTGGATAGAAAACAAAAGCAGTAAGCTTAGCAGGACTTCTGCTTTTGGAATGACTCTAAACACCTAAGTTTTGACCTCTGCCATCTGCTATAATTAAAAAGTAAATTGTTTTGTAGTCTGCCAACCATACTGGTAACTGCTCCAAAAAAGCAAGTGCTATGTAGCATATAGATAAGACCATGAGGTTTGTCATGCTTTAAAAAAAAATAAAAATTCAGGATGTGAATTTCTGGGGAAAGAGAAGGTTCTTAAGAATAGAGGATAAGAGGTCCACATTCAAATGAGCTGGCAACACGGTCTAAAATTTTGTCAGGACACTGGACTTTTTCCTCAAGAGATGCTTGTATTACAGCATCTCTATTTACCTGCAGTGAGGAATGTTAAAAGTCATACCTTTCTGGAAAAGCATCCTCACTAATACGGAGATCTGTAGCAGTGTTTTCCCCTGAGGGCAGAGACTGGGTGGTTGACTTTGTGATTCTTCTTTTTGTACTTGTAATGTTTTTCTGAATTTGAATTGCTTTTCATCTCTTAAATTGCAAAAATGTCTGTGTTTTTTCTTAGGCACCATACTTTTGGCCCTCAAATTGCTGGGAACCAGAAAACACAGATTATGGTGAGTATAATTATGTCACTGTAGAAAGTTAGTACAGAAAGTCTGCCTTAAAATAATTACTGCTTGCCATCTAAACCCTTCATCCACATAGTTGTCAGATGGCAGCATTAGAGGCAGATATGTGCCCATCTCAAATACATGAATTGAAATCCTGGAGTGTCTCAAGCCCATGGAGCTGTAGCCATTGAACTCAGTGGGGCCAGAATTTTACCTGTCGTTACCTACCTTCATTCTCCCATAGCTCTGTTCATTTCAGCAGGATTTTTGGCAAGCAGAATACTGGTTCTTGGGAATCTTAAATAATACCAATACTGCTTTTGTGGGAGAATATACTGTAGCTGAATCTGATGTGTTGATCAATAAAATTTACTTCATCTGGGCACTTGTCTCACTCCTCAATAAACCAGTATATAATTATTGGCAACCTATAGTTAAAATAGTTAAAAGTTCTCTGATATATGACATCGGACTTATTTTTCCAAATTTTTTAAGATTAGCAGATGATAGGGTAAAAGAGAAGACTAAGCATGGTTTATGAGCTAATAAACTGCAACATGGTGTGTTAAGCATGTGAGTGCCTGCAGACAGTGATAATACATAAAGAAAATATGTCAGTGTTGTTATCTTTAGCTGTCTGCATGCAATATTGCTGTCTCTTCCAGAACTGCATTTCTTTCACAGTTAAATGATAAAATTAATTATTGTATCCTGGTGTGGCTTTGGAAGAGGAAGTGTATCCATGTGTGCACTCATAAAACAGAAGCTTCTGGAAGTCCTTCTTTTATCTCATTACCTAAGATTGGTTTAGAACGCCTCCCTGAATAATCAGTTTGGTTTTTTTTCTTTCCTGGGTTATAATTAATCATCATTATGGATTCTGGAAATCGTTTGCTAGGGTGAAGAAGTAGTCTGCTATGGTGTGTGTCATAGGATAGTTCATTTGCAGTCCTCATCTGCAGGAAAGCTAGCAGAGACTTCCGTGTTTATCCCAGTGAGGGAACTGCTTTGGAGAAAACATGATGCTGTTCAGTATATGCAAAATAATTTCCAGATTTTACAGTCATCACACATATATCGCTGTGTGAACTGTGCCAAATACGTATTCTGTAAATACCAGAATAACAATGTGAAAAGGGAAGTTTCTTTTTTTTTCCTGCAATGTCAGATAAATAATTGGTTTTGCAGTCAGATTATTGTGCTGCAGTGGTATTGACTGGAGCAGTACACCCCAAAATAAAGCCCTATATGAGCTGACCCACAGCTGGACAAGCTTCAACTGCATTAACTCTGAGCCCTGTAGTAACAGATTTGCATCTGTCCCAGAAACCTCTAACATATGCTTGTAATCAGACTTTGCATATCGGAGGTCTGTACAGATGGAGTCTTCACAGGAATTAATCCCAAACTAGCAGTGGACCCAAATAAAACTCAAATCCCAGCAGCACTTCATACTTCTTTTTATTTGCATGTGTCCACTTACAGGACAGGAACTAGCCTGCTAATGGCAGGTCACTGCCTCGCATGAAACAATACTGTGCGACAACTGACTCTCACTTTATTTGGTGTCATAAAGGGCTTACAGCAAAAACTGCCCTTGAGATGTATAAATATAAATGAACTGGTTGACTCTGGTTACCATGCATGATACTGGCTCGTTGTATGAATGTTAAAATTATAGAAATAGCATAGAATAGAACTACATGAGTAGCACTAGGACTCTTGTATAGTTCAGACCTAATTATATACCCAGGGTGTGCTATGGACCTTGTGTTTCAGCCTGTGATGGAAATGGAGTGAATTTAGCAGATCCAGGTGAGGCTTTCCCAGAAGGCAACCTGGGACTGGTTTGGTCTTGTGCACTGGGCTCATCTTGACCCTCAAAATCCCAAACCACATGAGTTTCAGCAGCATCTCATCTGCCTACGGTGAAATGTGACAAACCTTCTCTTAACTGTTTGAAATGTGTAGACTAAGTGGATGGAACATATTAAAAAATGCCAGGATATACCTTTAGGGTCTGGCCCATATTTCTGTTTTCATTTTAATGTCCTTCATTCTTATTTTGATTTTTTCTTACAAAAGCGGAAAAGAAGTGCAGGCATATTCCCAAAGTCCTGAGAGGAACAGGTTGCTAATTCTGTATCTTTTACCAGCCCCAGAAGCAACTGTGCCTCTTTTGGACATCTTGTTAGGTCCTGGCATCTGCTCTTAGCACTTTTAAATGAGATGTCCAAGATGTTTAGGGCCTCTGAGATTACTAGTGGGTGACGTCAACTGAATGTTCAACCCTCTCATTCCTTGACTCATGTTGCTTTCTGATGAAAATGAACAATCTGTGGACCGTTTTTTTCTTCTTTTTTTTATAATATCTAGAACTAATAATCTGTCTGTAATTGTTTTCCATTCTGTTTCTCCCTTTAGCCATCTATCTTTGCAAACGGACCATGCAGAACAAAGCTAGGCTGGAGCTGGCGGATTATGAAGCCGTAGGTACACTGCTGCTAGAGTTTACAGCTGGGAATTGCAGGGATGGCTTTGCTTGCCAATTGAATGCTACCATTTTGTGCCTTGGGGTCAGCCTTTACTGTGTCTTTTTCTTAATTGACAGAATTGTGTGAAGGTTGATACGGAGACAACATCAGGAACATTATTGATGAACGTCCCTGGCTTTGTGGTGTATCAAATTAAAGCATCTGCTGTATAGCCAGCTCTCCAGGATTGGGGCAAATTACACAGAAGTTTAGCCTGGTGTCCTGTTTCTGGTTAAGAAATGATGGTTTATATAGCAGATTTTAACACATGGAAATGGTGGATTTCCAGTTGCACCATTGGCCAGTTAAATTGTTCGTGATCCATCTAGTTACAAAAGTCTTCAGATATTAGACTTGGAACAATATGCCACGTAAAAAGTATTACTCAAGTTTATTCAGAACGTGTTCTCTGATATGAAATTATTATCGATAAAAATATCCCAAACCTAGGTGTCAGACTGTGCAGGGGTTGGGTGAAGAGGAGTGGGAAGATGGAGACAGGTGGGGCAGGGCTGTGTATTTCTTTGAATACCAGCAGTGTAACACTCTGAGCAGCTGAACTTTTATTTCTACCATATTGACTTTTTTCTGTTTACTAGTTCAACAATGTAACAGCTGAAATTCATATTTGGAGTTTTTTGTTGGAAGGTTTGTTTACAAAGCTGGTTCCAGTGGACTTCTATGGTCATATTTCTTACAGTGAAAACATATAGCATATGTTTTAAGGGTGGACTTTTTCTGAAGAATAGAGTTTTCCTTATGCCTTGCCTTCTACATTTTGGGAGTTTTGTGGATGTGGAGAGATAAACACATGCCATTTGGTTCTTTCAGTGCAGAGCATGCAAAAATTGCCACTTATCTAGTCCACTGTGGAAGTGGACTAGTTCCCAAGAGTTCTAATCTTGAACAGGCATAAAGGAAGGAATATAATAATCTGCATGCACTTACATGTCCTTTTGCTGAGTTTTCTCTTCTGCATATTACTGATTTCATTATTAAAATCATTAAAATTGCTCACATCCAACCAATTAACTGTAAGTGCTCTAAAGATCTATCAAAAGGCAACAAAAGGCTGTTCAGCAGCGCACATACTCCCACACACATGCAGCGAGGCTATGGCTAAGTACTTTTGCACATTGTTGCCTACTGAGAGTAGCAGTGCTCCAGTGATGGTAAATAATTAGATCTTGGCAGTCTCTCATTTTTCTTGTGAATTTTGCATTGCACAATTAGAGATTACTTCTGCATTCAAACTTTGTTCTCTTAATTAGAGACATTCAGATAAGAATGGCACCGACTCTTCCTATTCATTATGGGAGCTGAAGCTCATCCAGCAATGGAGATGTAAGCTAAGCACAAGTGAGAGAAACAAGCCTGCAGGAGTGAGAAGGAGCCCTGTACATTTAGTACACATTTTTGGAGATGCAGCATGAAAATGCATCTCCATAGGTATCAGCAATGACCTGGAGCTTTGAAAGAGAATCTCTACAAAGCATCTCAGAGGACATCTCATTTTTAGGTTCTGCTTGCAGCATTTACAGGCAACACCCAACCCCCATTTATACTAGGTAGAACAGGGGTCTCGATGATATGATTAAGCTTGTATAATTGCATTCAGTTTTGTTTATAATTGGTCAAACATAAGCATGATTCAAATATTGCTTCAATTGGTGATCTTTCATTGGCTTCAGCATATTTACTCCAGGGAGCTCACGTCAACAAAATTTAAAACAAAATTAAAAAAACCGCCCACAAAAATTGGTGTTACAGATAATTACAAGTAGTTCTTCCTTGTAGCCACAGTTAAGGAAATCATAGTTCAGCAATCTGTAAATCATTTACTTAACTGTTTTCCTCCATGTGTACAGACTGGAACTGTTACATGGCCTTTGTGGTAACAGGGCCAAGCTTTATGCCTTGTGTTATACAAGAATTTAAATAATAGGAAGAATTCTTTTCGTATTGAAATGCATGTGCCTAAGCAGTTCCTTGAAATAAAGGTGATAAGTATAAAAAGAACAGCAGTAGAACTACAAGTGTCCAATTTCAGTGTAAATTTGCAATAGTTACCAGCTATAATGGAGAAGAGTGTCAAGTTAATGGCTTCACGGGCCTCCTTGTTGGGGCAGGTGTGGATATGTGATCTTGGGGTGCCATTTAAGCCTGAAATTCTGGCCATGACCCGAGTTTAACCTTGAACTGTGATGAAGTCACATCCACATCCAAATGTTCAGATCACTACACTTTCTGTAATGGGTCTGGACCAGAGCTCTTACCTCAGATGTAAATCAAGACTGCATGTGGATCCAGTCTTTGCAGTAACTGTTCAGACAAACAAGCTGTTTCCTTTTGTGAATCATGCTGGCAGTCTCCAGCCTTCAGTGCTGTGCAGCTATGTAATGCTCTCAGCGGTGACCAGGACTGAGCAAAGCAAGGGATGCTCTGGCTTTGCACCTTAGCAAAAGCCTGAAGAGAAGAGAGCAGTGGGATGAGGAAGGGAAAGTGAGGATGAGAGGGAAATGTGCAGGTGGCAGCCATCTGGTATTAGAAATGAAAAGTTGTCAGCTTCACAAAGCTGCTCAGTGTTATCTTTTGGGAACAAGTCCATTTTTTTCATAGTAGAGCTCAAACTGTCTTCATCACACTCCATTACTTATCCCTGACAGGGTCCTTTGGGCTGCAGCCTGAAAAGATGTGTTACAGCCTTGCTTTGCCTGCAAGATAGCTGACCTGAAACTAACACTGACTTCCATGTCTTGAGTGTTACAGCTTAAAAAAAAAAAAAAAGAATAAAATAAATACCCAGCATGCTAACTGTGCTCTCAAGTAATTGTTGTAATTACAGAGATTTGTTGTTCTTACTATTTTCATCTTTTGTCAGGAAAACTTAGCAAGACTTCAGAGAGCGTTTGCAAGAAAGTGGGAATTCATCTTCATGCAAGCAGAGGCCCAAGTGAAGTGAGTAGTCCCAGAGCACTGAACTGCACCAGTATTTACAGCTGTGAAGGGAAGGGGATTCTGTACAAATAAAACTTCTTTGTCAAAATCTTTACTGTGACTAAGCTCAGAAGTTGGTGAATTTTAATCACTGGCAGACTAGAAAGAATAGAGAACCAATTCTGAAGGTCTGTGCCAGAATCTGAAATGTGGTTTAATTATCTGTACATGGAAATGTTGGTCAGGAGCTCCAGAGCCTGGATTCATCATGGGAGCTTGGGCTATTCACGTGCCCATTCTGCTTCTACATTTGTGTAGTATTTTCGTTTTGTATAAATGGAAAGAACAGAATTTTGTCATCTGTCTGTGGTACTCTATGCTTGTAGAGTATTTCTGAGTAAAAAATTACTGTCACTTCAGCGTGATTATAAGGGTGATATTTACAGCAGACTGAATTTGATTTTCTCATTTACACTAATCCCTAGTTGACTCTGTTGTATCTTTACTCTGTAGTTCAACTCATGCTACTAAATTAGCACAGAGAATTGGGTACCACTTACATGAAATCTACTCATATTTAGTATTTGGGTTTTTCCTATCCTCTGCTCATAATTGAAATCTACTTTTCTTCTCATCTTCACTTATGGAAGCAGTTTGAAGCCTCTTAATATTTTGAGCATATATTCATTATTGCTGGAAAATGGGTATGGTCCAGGGTTTGTCTACTAGTGTCAACAAACTAGTATCTAAAACTCCTAAGTGTCCATTTTGTGCAGGTAGTTGTCACCTATAAAATAGAAGGGCTGGTGAAGATGGCACATGAGAACACCAGTACTGATACTCTGTACCACTAGAAGGAACTTGCACTTTCAGCATTAAATACTAAAAAGTTAAGGAATATAATTTCTTGAGGGTGTGGCTTGAGATATACATCTCTATCTTGATTAAACCTTTGGAATTTTGATTAATTCTTTGCTTAGTAACATTATAATTGTGTTACATTTAAATACATGATAGTTATCTTTTAAATTACAAGGTAGTTAAGGGATTTTTTCCAACCAGAATACCACTGTTCTGTTTGGAGGAGAAAATTAGAAGTTATGATACCAGTTGTACTTTCAGTTACTTAAAGGCTATTGCCAAAATGAAAAAAAAAGTCTTAAGTCAAGACAAAATTCTGCATTCTGTCTAAAACATATAATTATTACCTAAGAAAGAAATGTAAATATCAGATTCTTTGTGATCACTATTGCTTATTCATCTTTTCTCCTTCCTGTTTTCTTTGAAACTTAAGCGTGAACTGGCAGCTATCAACTTTTTTTGCTGGCTAGTTTCAGCTTCTGGTTTCCAGTCCATGTGATGATTCAGTCTTCAGTTTCCAAAAAGGAAGGGATGAAGTTCACAGTGAATTCACAGCCCTAAGTTAACTTAAAAAAAGAAAAAGGAAAAAAACAAAACAAAACAAAAAACAAACACCCCCCCAAACAAACAAACAAACAAAAACAAAAAAACCCAAAACATAAAAAAGCCCAAAACAAACCCCCCCAAAAAACCTGAAAACATTCCTCCTGCTTACCAACTTTTGCATTGCCTTCAATGTCTTTGCACACAGTATTCCCATTGCTATACATAGATTGCTCAAAAACCACAGCCACAAAGCATCTAGCTGTTTTGGATCTTCATAGTTTAAAATGTGAAATCCTGAGTTATCAGTAAGTTTGGAGATAAGAGTTGACAAGCTGGGTTGAGCACAAACTATTAGTGAAGAGAATTCATGAAGCCTCCAAAGAGTCCCTCCTGTTTGTATGTGCTGTGTGATATAAGGTTGGCAGAAGACTTCACCTTCTCCTTTGGCCAGGTGTGAAGGACTCATTCAGAAGTAGTTTTGGGCTGGGTATCCTCAGTACAGTACAACAACTGCTGTCTGGTGGCTTCTCTGTCTTTGTGCAGGGACAGAGCTTGTGCAGAACTTTTTCCTCACCTCAGCCTTGCAAAGGGGAAGTTCAGTGAGTGATGCCAAACAGTGGAGGACTTGGGCTTTTTGTGGGGAGTAGTATTCAGAAACTTCAGTTTTAGTCCCCTGCTTCCTATCCTCTTGGTACATTTCTAGCACAGACTTAACTAAAGGTCACTGCCCCTCCAAAAGAAAACAGGTGAGAGAGAACCTAGCATGGGTTTTTTTCCTTGCTGCTTTGATTTTCCTGGGTGGCAGCAATCTGGCAACCCAGCACAGGGATGCTGTGAACTTTTTACAGTCCTGCTCTAGAAGTGGAGGCTGTTCCTCCTTCCATGTGCCTCCTCCTCTATGCAGGTAGATCTTGCAAACTGGTGGTGACCTTGCTGTGCTTATGTGTAGAGCTGCCCATGGGAGTGAGGTGCCAGATGTGACTTTTTCACTGCTGCCAAGAGATAGGGGAACAGTTGCTTTGAACAACCTCTGGTGGCCTTTGAGTGAGTTGATTCACTGACTGCATCAGGACTAAAACTACTGAGTTACTGTTGTGCCAGCCCAGGCGCGTCTCTCTTGGGTGGGTGCTGGCTTGCACAGGGCTGTGCAGCAAGCTCAGCTCTGGTCACCTGTGCTTGTCACCCCTTGCTCTGCCAGCATTGGGGCACATTGGCAGAGCCAGTCTTGGTGTTGAAAGCTCTAAGGAGGAGTGGCCACAAGTGCTGCCCATGTTGTTGCTGCTGGGCATTCCGCTGCTGCAGCATCCTTTGCAGTTTGTAGTCATGCCAGTGGTGCTGCTGGGGCACCGGGGTGCAATGGGATCTCCTGATGAGGACCTCAGTCCAGCACCAGTCAGGAGCCTCACCTGGAACAAACAGGTTCTGGTGGGTCTCCTGACACAGACAAAGCCACAGGCTTCCCTAGCCTGTCAAATTAAGGTCCAGGGACAGAGTATCAGGAAAGGTTGTTTTCCTCAACAGATGAAAAAACAGGTGTTAAATTTTTCACATTAATAGGAGAATCCCTTTTGATCCATATTGGAGTAAACATCAGCGTTATTTTGTTCATGGCATGTGGCCTTGCAAGTGCGAGTGTGACATTGCTGTACAAAAAAAAAAGCTGTTTCCTGAATTTTTTTGTTGTGGGGTTAAAAACCCCATCTAGGAACTGTATCAAAGAAGAAAGCATTGACTTTCATTGACTTTACATTGACTCATACATTTATGCTTTTTTTTCCAGAATCGACAGGAAAAAGGATAAAACAGAAAGAAAGATTTTGGACAGCCAGGAAAGAGCATTCTGGGATGTGCACAGGCCTGTGGTAAAGCTCTTTTAAACAATTAGACTTTCCAGGTTTTGACGGGAAAGTTTTAATACTGGTAAACACTGTGGTATGCATGAAGACATCACCTTTAAAGTCATCGCGTGGATTTTCCTTGCAGTTCAAAACACACCAAGCATCTACAAGATTATTTTAGACATTCTGAGCTTGTGCATGTATGGAACTATTGATCTGGAAATATGTGAAGTTTGGAAAATTATTTTCTGTGCTTATGAAAGAAAAGCAGCTTACCGAGTTTGGCTCAGACTTCCTAGAAAAAGCTTCCCTCTTAGCTATTTCCTTTTGATGCCAAGGTTAGGAGTAAATGGATTGGATGCTCAGATGGCATTGGATATATGCAGTCTCTTGTTTAGCAAGAATAGTTTATGTGACACAAACCTCAGAAAAGAGTTTTGGACAAGATCTAATTGTATATTTCAGAAAGATAAAGTAGTATGAAGGTTGTAAACAGAGGAGTAACACAATTACCATCTCTTTTCAGCCAGGTTGTGTGAACACCACAGAAATGGACATTAGAAAATGTCGCCGTATGAAAAATCCACAAAAAGTGAAAAAGGTCAGTTTGAGTTCTTGGTTTTGGTTTTTGCTTGCTTGGAGTTTTTTTGATTCATTGGTTTTGGTTCTTTTTTAATTTAAGTCATGCTCGACACCTTCAGTATATCAGATTTACCCAACAGGAACCCAAAAAAAAGTGTTTTGATAATATCAGTTCTGTTTGTTCTGCTTGATGAATAAATTATTTCAATTTTACCAGCAGAGTGGTACAGACTGGGTGATGGGTAGAACTGAAAAGGGCATTAAGGAACTCTGTGTCCCCAAAGTCTGATGACTCTGCACTCCCATAAAACTAAAAGCAATTGGCAAAAGTACCTAAGTCCCATTTTGTGAAATTATCTGGGCACAGATAATGAACTGTTTATCTACCTTAATCATTTCAAAGGCTGGATCATTAGCAACTTGGGTGTCTTTGACTTCCAGCAAGTTTAAGTTCTTCTGTGTATATAAAGTCAGAGAATCATTTAGGTCGAAGAAGACCTTTAAGATCAGTGACTCAAAACCTTAACCCAGCCAAGTCCACAACTAAACCATGTCCTTAAGCACCACATTTACATCTTTGAAATACCTCCAGGGATATTGACTCAACAGGGCAGCCTGTTCCAGTGCTTGATAACTATTTCAATGAAGAAATTTTTTCAGATATCCAATTTAAACCTCCCCTGGTGCAACTTGAGTCTGTTTACTATTATTTTCTTTTGTCACTTGGTTCATCACAATGAACACACTCCCAGTGTTCATCCTGTGAGTGTTGACACACACAGCCTTCAGAGCTCCTAAAAATTATCAGCATTTTAACATTTAAAACAAACTCTTTTCTCAACGTGCCTACAGACCTTCCAACTGCAGGCATCTGCAAGTGTGGTCTGATCTGTAAATTTTGCTCCAGGCTGAATGATTATTGACCTGTGTGGGTATAAACAGTAGGAAATTGCTGGCTTATTACCTTACTGCTTTGCATACCACACTGTTCCTCATTGCATAACAGAGAAAAATGCTGTAATCCCTTCTGTATGTTTTTTTGGTTCCTCACAGTCGGTATATGGGGTTACAGAGGAGTCTCAGCCCCAAAGCCCTGTACACATGCCATCCCAGCCGGTACGCAAAACTACAAAGGAGGACTTCCGGAAGCAAGTAAGTGGGTGGCTGTATGGCAGCTCTTCTGAGAACTGTTGCCTGAAAAAAAAGCATGTAAAGTTATGGAGATGTCAGCAAAACCAACTGTATGCTTTGTCTGTCCTTGATTTTCACTTGCTTATGTAAAGTAGTAAATATCCATTGAGCAGTGCAGTTATATGATGATATGTATTATGAGTAATACTGACCTTTGAATCTACTGTTACTCTGTCTGTGGACTAGTAAACAGATTAGTTTCCAGTTCACTGAGGATGTCTGAAAAGTGAGCAGTGACAAAGGCTAGGGAAGAAGCCAGCATGCTTAGGCACAGGCTGGGAACTGGTGGTGAGGAAAGGCATCGTTCAGTACATAACTGTTAGATTGTACAGTCAGAGCTTTTAGGGAACTGGGAAAAAGTTATTTGCACAATCATGGCAAAGAATGGCCAGCCAGCTCACACATCCTTGCCCTGGCGCAGAGACCTCTCCCTCAGAATTACTTTCCTGCAATAAGCAATCTTCACTGAAGGATAAACAGGAATTGCTGGGTCAACATTTTAGTAAAGGCAGCTTTACATTTTATTAGGCAGACAGTTTTCGGGTGGTCTTCTGAACTAACCCAGAACACTAAATTTATTGAGCTTTTTTCTATCATAGACTGAAGAACTAGTTCATAGCAGAGTGCAAGTATGCTGTAAAACTGATTGGTTGTGTGGTGCTCGTCAGTTAGAGAAATGGGAGAGAGGAGTGTGATTGTAACAAGGGGATCATATTGCATCCTGAGTAGTCTAGGAACCTCAGCCCCAAATATGTGTGTTTCTTACTTTTAATTATGTCTTCTGAAGCTTCCCCTGGAGTTTTGGCTTTGGAAATAACTGCTCCTATAGGAATCAGTTAATAAGCTTCTTCTGATACCTAGGGAAAGGACCCATTTCCTTCTGAGTTACTTTCAAGCTGTTTGGAAAGAGAAATCAATAGCATGTTGGTGTATTGTCAGTGCATGCTGTACAACTCATGGATTGTTAATGTCCTTGTCATCTCTCTCCTCAGATAACTTTTCTGAACATGCAGATAGAGAGACACTGTTTAAAGATGTCCAAAGTAGCAGAAAGGTGAGTGTCCCTATTTGCACGATTTCCCTTTCTTTCCTTATCTCCAGTGTGGCATTTCTAGAGACAGAGAGTTGGCAGGAAAGTACAAAGGCTGATCCCCTTTCTGTGCATCTGTCCTCTCCCCTCCTTGACCTGCTGTGCTGTCTGCTGGCCACTGAAACTTCTGCACATGCTCCTCTGCTACTGAGGAAAACTAGGTAGAAAATGAGGATGCTGTCATATTGCAAAAAACAAAAGAAACATTCAAAAAAGAAAGAACCCTTGCAGGACTTTTGTTTCCCACCCCTTTGCAACTCTAGAGTGTATTTATAGAAAAGTCATTCCTGTTTCAATATGAAAATACCCTTTATTTTGTGGGGGAACTCTCAGTGCTTATCTCTTCTTAGTCTGGCACAGCTCTGAAGAAGGAGCTGTGTTTGTATCTGTTGCACATGGTTGTTCATGTCTGTGTTCATTCTGGAGTTGTAGGGCCAGTTCCTCCTCCCACTTCCACATATATGAAACCTTATGAGAAGTACTGGGGATTGTACCTGGACTACTCAAGACAGTGTTTTAAGAGGTGGATTTCTCTTAGAGGCAAATCAAGGAACAGTTTGACTTGCAGAATATTTAATTCTGGTAGAAGAGTATAAAGAGGTGAAGAACAAGCTCAAATTTCATTGACAAAGGCAGCTTCTTTACTTAGGTACTTGTAAGTTATGCACATTTTCAGGGGAATCACTGAGATGAAGGTAGGAGTAGGCATGCTCTTCAGTGACATCGCTTTTAAAGCAAAACTGTGTTGAACATGAGGGATGTGATAAGGGCTGGTTCCTTCTAGAGGAATAATAGAGGAATTTTTATTTAAGCAAATTAAAAAGAGATTACTTTATGAAATGTGCTTTGCAGTGCCTGCACCTGTAGTTAGCATGTGTGTACTAAACTAAGTAAATTAAACAGTGGAAGCCCAACATAAGCTCCTAATGGCTCATAAAGTATAGCAATTATAATGAAAATTTATCCAATTAAATAGAAAACATTCAGAGGCTCCTCAAAATCTTTCATATGCTATATTGTATGATTCAAATGAGCACACCTGTATTTATGTTTTGGGGTTTTGGATCTTTTTAATTAAGAATATACATTTGTGCTTTAACAAAAACATGTTTCAGATATTCATAGAATATTCTGAGTTTGAAGGGACCCACAAAGATTATCAAGTCCAGCTCTTGAATCCACAACCTTGACATTATTAGCATCATACTCTAACCAGCTGAACCAACCCACTCCCCCAAGTACTGAATTTACTTACAATATCCTTAATATACTGAGACAGTAATACTTTCCAGGTTGGTAATTTACAAGCAAGCAGATCTGTTTTGCTTGATTTTTTTCTAGGTAGATCCATTGAGTAAGATGGACTCAGTAAAACTCAGTCACTTGTGAAAATTTAATCCTGTCTGCATAAGACATCTTTTCTTCACATTTATAAGGAGCTACTGATATTATAAATGTAATGTTGTCAATGCAAAAAAAAAAAAGAATCCTATTAGTTTTCAGTAAAACTGGACAGAAAATTTTCCTGATTTGAAAGGGCTTTTTTTCCCTTCTTTTAATTGCTCCCAAATGGCACGAGAAAATGTTGCTATCAAAACCTGTGCAAACTGATAACCAGGAGAAAAGTAAATAAAATGAGAACAAATTATAGAATCTTAGAACATCCTGAGTTGGAATGGACCCACAAGGATCATCAAGTCCAACTCCTGGCCCTGCACAGGACAGCCCCAAGAGTCACACCATGTGTCTGAGGGCATTGTCCAAACACTTCTTGAATTCTGGCAGGATTTGTGCCATGACTACTTCCCCTGGGAGCCTGTTCCAGTGCCCAACCAGCCTCTGGGTGAATAATGTTTTCCTAATATCCAGCCTAAATGAATATTTATATTTTTAAAGAATTAATTATAATTATAAAGAATTAAAATCATGGTTGTGATATTTATATCTTGTGAGGAGGTGTTCGGTTACGTGATGACTGAGTGGCAGCGTGGATGGAGGGTCCCGGGACTTGGTGCAGAGAGTGGTGGGAAGTGCAGTCTGGACATGGAGCATCACAGAGCAGGTGGGAGGGAAGTAGAGGGGCTAATGCTAATGAGTCCAGGGGCTTGGCAGGGTGGGGGGGAACCAGTGAGGAAGAATGAATGTGGATGACCTGAGCTGAACAATTGCCTGAAAAAAACCTGTGCGACCTGAAAGCCCCATTAAAACACTGAATACAAGCACTAGGAACAAATTTACTGTGTACGGAGATGCTGTTATTATCAAGTCACTTTTCAGGCTGGACCCTGCTCTTGGGACAGTTTAAGTGACAGTGTGGCAGATCAGAGAGCAGGAGGTGATGCTTCCTTCTACAGCCAAGACTGACAGTGTCACCACCTGCCATTTTTTCAGTATAGCTCCCCTTCAGGAAGGATAAGGGAAGAAACAAGGAGCAACTAAGGCAGGAAGTGCTAGAGGAAACAAGTTATAGCAATAAAATATGAATTGTTTCAATAGTAACAGATCAAATGTATTCATTTTCCATTAATGCACACTATTCTTGAGATAGCCCTTGTCCATCAGAAGAGGAACAGAAAGGCTCTCCAAAGGATATCCCCAGCTGTCATGAAATAAATGCCCACTACTAAAGATTTTCTTCCCCTTCCTCTCTGTTCCCCTTCCAGGAGTAGATCTGCACCAGCTGTGGGAACAGGCATCCCTCAGCTGCTCCACACACCTTGCAAACAGTCTTTCTTCCACATCCTTTCCTCCCACTTGGGACCTGCACACTGTCAGGTTTAGACAATGAGATTTGAGTACTGTTGAGCAAAACTATCAATATATTCTACCTACTGTTTTCCCTGACTGCACTGTGCAGTGTTAGTACAATCTCATCAGACGTGGCATCGCAGAAATAGCTGGGGAAAAAATGAGCATCTTCCTACCTGAAGCAATCTCAGCTCTCTAGATAAAAAATCTGTGCTATCCTTTCAGCTTCTCAAAGTTACTGTGAAGGCTCAGCAGGCCCCCTTGATTGAGAGACAGTTGGGTTCTCAGGGCAAGCTCTGCACCCTTCATTCAACTCTTCCCACCACCTCTTCTACCAGATATACAGTTTATCACCCAAAAGGCCAGAAGTTCAGGTTTTCATTTTGGCAGAAATGCTTTCCCTTAGGAGTTCCCCTGCCTGTAGCCTCTTTAGACAATGAGGCAATGATTCCACTGCTGTCATTATACTGAATCAGCAAAATGTGCTTAGCAATTCCCCCTTGTTTCATTTTAGCTTTTCCCCCTTTTTTTTTTGCTAGTACTTGTACTAGCACCTCTAATGCCTTATTATTTTATTAGGAGCAATTCAGGTTTCACAGCAGATATCTCTTGATTGATCCTTTTTGGCTTTCTTTTCTCTTTTAACCAACCCTCTCTCTCATTGATGTCTAAGGGATTGCTGCTGCTCTGTGAAATTGGACGCTGCTCCCTCCTCCAACCCTTGACCCACAGCAGTCATGAAATGTAATTAATGAAATGAGATGAGACAGCCCTGAGTGCCCTAAGGGGCAATGGGAACCTGCTGTGGTTACAAAAGTGTATGATTTTAATGCCTCGTGATAAGAGCTAGGACAAACAAAAAGAAATAATTACTATAGAGCAGGTCAGGGAAACTTTCTGCCTTTTATGACCCTTTGTTTCACAGGGTCTTTTCATTCTCCTGCCTTTTGAGATGGGGAAGACCAGAGGTAAAGTTTAGTGTGGACAATCACAGTGCAAGCAGATTAGTTGTTCAGTATGATGAGACACAATTAACTTAGTTAATTACTTGGCAGACGTAGGCAAAAAAAAAAGAAAAAATGTCTTAGAGTATTTCCAGTATGGACTAGGACAAATTTCCTTTGATTTATTTCATATATGCTGTCTTTCTTTTGTAAAAATGTGCCCCTAGCCCCAATCCCAGTGGAATTCCTGAATCACTTATGTGAGCAGACACGGTCCTTTTCCCAGAAAGCTCTTTGAAACTCATCCTAGTGAGGATTAGAGGCTATATGCCTTAACTGACTCATCATGAAGCAAGCCGGTGTAAAGGCCAGGTGATTTTCCTACATGCATATAATTTACTGTAGTCTAAGTTAATTATAAAGTACTGTTAAAGTATTTTACAATAGTGCCGTTAGACTAAATAATATACCAATGCAACCAAAAAATTATCTACAGCAAAGCTTTGATGCTCAGGACTGTGATCCTCCAAAGATTTAAGTGTATTCTTAGCTACAGCCCATGACCCTATTTAGGTGAGTTTCCCATAATGCATAAAGTTACATGGGTGCAAAAGTCTGCAAAAACAAAAAGGGTAACATACAACAAATAGTAACATGCAACAAATGAACAGTATGACACACACTTCCTATTCATCTCATGGTTCTCTGGGGAAAGTCCTACCATAGCAATCCGGTTGTTGTCTCATTGGGCTTTTTGTGGGCATCTTAATAGAGACAAGCTTGAGGAAAATACTGCAGTGAACTGGTGGCAGAGAAATCCTTGCATGCATCATCCCTGGGAAAAGGGTCTCCCGTTGTTGTTGAGAAGCTGACTAATCCCTACAAAATAAAAATAAGCACACCAAAAAAAAAAGGATAACAATAAAAGCTGTACCTCTCTGACATGTGACTGAGCATTCAAACCCTGATTCTCTTTCTTTCTTTCTTTCTTTTTCTTTTTTTTTCTTTTTATTTTACCTGTCAGTTTAATAGCCTACACAGAGCAATATGTGGAATATGACCCTTTTATAACTCCTGCTGAGCCTTCCAATCCCTGGATAAGTGATGATGTAGCATTGTGGGACATTGAAATGAGGTAAAAAGTAATCAGTAGTCTTAACTAATGTTAGAGTTTTCTTGCCATTTCGTTTGTATGCTCTTCACACTGCCCTGTTTGGAAAGGTAGTTGTATGTCTGTGTCTTTAAAAGATTCAAGTACATAGCTAAAGTTTATCACTTGTGTTTGTGAATTGTTCAGCCCTTCCACTTCCATATGGCTTGAGGTATGGCACTCTGTAAGTCAGGTAACGGATGTTCTCATACCTCTCAAGAACACACACACTTTCAGGTCTAGGAGCCTACAGCTATAGGATATACTTGTTCCAGCACATCTCCTTTGATGCTTGAGAGCCTGCTCTCTGCTCCTCACCAGCTGCAATGCTCCAGCCCTGCTTGTGTCTTGGAATCCCATGAAAGGTGCTGCTGGCAGAATAGGATGGGTTAGAGGGCAATGGCCATTCCTGCTTTGCTGAAGTGGATTTGGCACAGGAGCCAGAGGAATGTAGCTGACATGTAACCTGTGAGACTTGGCAGGTCAGAATTCTAGTAGATTGATAAAGTGACTCTTGTTCTCATGTTGGTGAACAAACTGGTTTGTCTCTGGTATGGTGTCTAATAGGTGGAAAGGAGGAGGAATGATTGTAGGACTTTCAATGCCCTGCACCTCAGAGAGTTTCTCCAAGAAAAACCCCAAGCACAGCACTGCAATGGAGATCATATTTTTCCCAATTGATGCTGGTGCAAGGGAAGTCTGGCCTGTGTCTACATCTCTTGCCATCATACACTATCCACAGCCCTCACAGAGGGGCAAAAATTTTCCTGCCTGCCACTGCAAGTCGCACAGCAGGTTTGAATGGAATCACCATGCCCCATATCACCTTCAGTACTCAATCACATCCTGTGGCCAACTACTGCATTGGCTCAGCAGCTTCTCCTAGTGTTTAGCTGCTGCCATTTGGCACCAAATCTGAACAGGGAGTTCAATTTAGCTAATATTTGATAAGAAAATGCTAAATCTAATCCTATCTGTTCTTGAATAATAATTTAAAGTTAGAGATACTATTGGTATCCAAGAAAGCCAATTCATAGGAAGGAAAGGGGAAGTTTTTTCCCTGTTTAAAAACCACGTGGTCTGGGACGTGAAAGATGCTTTCACCTGCTTCTCTGGTAGTCACAGAAATCCATTAGTTCCCTAACCTCTGCCCCTCTTCACATAATTTTAATATTTAGGATTTCTCTTTTAGTTAGTTTCTCTCATTTTCTCCATCCTCCCTAGTAGGGCTAGTACCAGATACAGCCCTTGCAAAATACTGCTCTGCAGAAACCCTCACCCACAAAGTAATCCAGGCATCCATTATTTCTGCATCTGTTGAGGTAGCTGTAAATCCCAGAAAAGATGTCTGTGTCCCTGAAGAATACAATTAACCTGATGTCACAGCCTTTATAGGAATTTAAAATAAATGCTTGGCTTCTGCTGTGATTTCAGAGTTAAGGAAGGTGATTCTCCTGCCAATGAAAAAGAGAAAGTTGTATTGTTAGGAGATGGAAGAACAAACAGCTCTGTATTTCCATTTTATTCTCTATTGTAAGAGAACTCCCTGCATCTGCATCTAGTTGCAACTTGCATGAATAATTAAATGATCCCCGAGATCCCCTTGTGTTGCCTGCAAAGCTGTTTCCTCAGTTAGGAGAGCAGAGCCCTTGCACAAGAAAACAAAGAGCCTCTCACTTCTGATGGTAAGGCTGGCTGCTGAGTATGGGCAGCCCTGTGCCACTACAGTTCATCCTTCATGGCAATCGGGACTTGGGAAATGACACAGAAAGCATTCAATTTTAGACAGCACTTTGGCTTTTTTTTTTTTTTTTTGTGCTAGAACATTGTGCAGCAGCAAGAAGAACAGCTACAGATCTCTGGATTCAGCAAGAAATTCCCTGAGCTTAGCTTATGCATGGCTCTGCACAAACATAGCTTTTGTGTCCCAATGCTCAGGCTGGCTCACTTAACAGGTAGGCTAAGGCATCTGCACCCTTGTCTGCAGCACTGCTGGCTCCTGGGTGAGTGCAGGAGGAGCCATCTGGAGTGTGCTGCACTTTGAGTGAGGAAATGCCTATCGATTTTGCTTAGCCTTTACACCAAGAGGAAATCAAAGCAGGCATTTTATTTACCCCTTTGGCTTAGTTGTCTTCAGCACAGATCGCCACTGTCCCCTAAGGCTCCAGGATTAGGAATCACTGTGGACATGACGAGACATGCAGTTTAATAGATATGTACTGTTAACAATGGCTCTACTGTCACAAACGTGAGCAGCTGAGCTGTATTTTAATGGTTGTCTCATAGTATGACGCCATCACACCAGAAGCTTTCAAACACTTTGTGAGCCCGGATTACGCTCTGATGCGGACTGTCTTTTAGGATCCTCATTGTGGTTCCCATGCACCACCTCTCCCCATAGGTGTCTCTGCAACATGTCTGGCAATTCAAACAACAGCTTATGTAAGTTGGTGTTAGTGAAACTAGTGAAACCTTAGAGAAAGGTTGTTAGTGATTTTGGGTGCCTCTGCATCTCAGTGTCCCAGATGAGACACTGATTATTGTGGAGAGTAGGAGGAAGATGCTTTTTAGGCTTCTAAGACTTAGGCATGCAAAAATCAGAGGCACTGAAAAATAAAAGACCACAAACCAGTAATCATTTTTAGAAATCTTGTCTGTGCTGCTTCTTAGTGAAAGTGCTTTTTTAATGCAAATGGGGATCTGAAAATCTGAAGCCAGTTCCAAGTGACCAGCCAGCACTGTGTGGGACACAAGGAGATGATTTGGAGCTCACCAGTGTTCCAGGGAATACTGCTGGAAAATTTCTGCCTTGGCATGTAAGAAATCCTAAGGTACATTTGAGGACATATGCAAGCAGTGCATAATGAATAATCATTTGAGTATGGTATCCTGTTCTTTGCATGAAACCTACCAGAAGTTACTCTGAAAATCAAGTAATTCACTGTCTCTCTTATGTATGTAGCTATGTATGTAGCACCCAGATAGTACAGTTGCTTTAATGATGACCCTGGTCTTTAAAACTTCATTATGTTATTTGCTAACTTGTATTTCTGCAAAATCTTGAGAAAAAAACATCATCTCATCTGATAATCTTCCTCCCTTTGCTGCTTAGCAGAAACAACAGCAGCTGCTCAGACAGCAGGCAGAGATGCACATTCCATCTGTTTTTTCCCTTCTCTCTCCAAACAGCAAAGAACCTAGTCAGCAGCGTGTGAAAAGATGGGGTTTCTCCATGGATGAGGTGCTGAAGGATCCAGTAGGACGAGACCAGTTCCTTCGTTTCCTGGAATCAGAATTCAGCTCAGAAAACCTGAGGTGAAACCTTTTTTGACTTGAACTAAATGAATGCAACTGATGCTACTCTCTTGCATAGGTGAAGTGCAGTGTTTGGTCTATCTTGAACTGCTAAAAACACCTATTTGAATAAAGTTGAAAATGGTAGGATTTGGCCCATAGCACTGCTACAGATGCCTATATTAGACCTATGTAAGTAATCTCAGAAGCAGTTTTTAGCAGAGCCAGTGTTGTCAGGTATCATATGCAAAGGTTTGCAAAGTTGAAATAGTGTGATGAGACACAGCAGATAGCTATTAAGCCTCCTAACAATATATAGGATTTACACGTGTATTTGTGGCAACAGTTGTGTGAGGGAAACAGTATAGTGATCATGTGGCTAAGCACTGTAGCAGCACTGGCACTGACTAACAGGTTTGCAACAACTACTTTTAATTCCGGCACCTCCTAACTATTCGAGAGCTTGACTCACCTTAATAGCATTTGGTCTATGTGGGGATTCTGAGTATCTGACTTCTCAAGTTATGAAAAAGACAAAACTTTTATTATGAAACATTATGTAGACACCCTTGTGATACTACATCAGACTGAGAGTCTATAACTCTTGTGCACAATTCTGCTGCTTTAACTACAGCAGGAATAAACAGCAGTAGTAAGTTGCCATTAACCAACACTAGATGAAGATAAAACCTTTCCTGTAAAATCCAGGTCCTCTGACCTTGTCCATAACTCCAAGATAAAGTCCCATTGCAGAACTGATGAAAAGACATTGAAAGTTGACAACAGCATGCTTCATTCTGAGGTAGCAATTCTTCAGAGAATGCCTGTCTCTTCAGCCCTTCCAGCTGCAAAACTAAGTGCTAAACACAGCTCCTTAGGATTCATTAGTCACCCTACATACCCCAGAACTAATGTATTAAACCATTTCCCCTTATTGAAACCAAGTACCTTCTCACACTGACAGAAAAAGAGAGGTCTAGCTAGATATTCCCCACAGACCCTAAACTAAACTCATAGCCATGCTTACATAGCAAGGATCAGTCCCCTTCATGTCCTAGCATTAATCTGTATACAGTCACAGGTTTAATCATCCTTGTCTTGAATCTTAACACTAATTCCAAGCCTAACCCTGAAGTTAATTTTAGGGAAAGCAGCTCTTCTGCTGTGGAGAGCTAACATATTGTTGTATCCTGCAGATACAACCAAGCTGCATCAAGTCCCATAACAGCAGAAGCACATGTACAGTGAGCTCTGAGAAATTGAGGTTCCCAGGATTATGTTGAAACGGAACTGCGGCAAACAGTGGGATTCATGTTCAGGATTGGAGGTATTTAAATACTACCTTCAATGCTGGGTGCTGCAAAGTCCAAAGAAAATGAGAGACGGCTCATGCCAGCCAGAGAGGCAGCCTGAACAGGTAGAGGTTGATGATACTCAGTGGCTGAGGTTACGGATTAGACTCTTGCCTGCCTGTGACAAACAGCCCAATTTACTGTAAGGGTGATCTATTTGGGCAGTAGCAGGAAGCTGACGAGCAGCAACAGCAGAGCAAGCAAGGGAAAGCTTGAGTTAGTGTCAGCGTGCCACTCTGTGCTTTTGTACTCCTGTGTGGGATCCTTAACCTGCTCCTTAACTGAGGTAACAGAGGTCAGAGGCACTTCATGCATTATCTGCAGTAGTTCTCATCTACTCGTTCCCCTGGTTAGTCCTAGAGACACAGAAGGATCCAGCAGTAATGGAATTTGACTGCCCTAGATGTGGCGGTATCCGGTAAAACCCACTTTTTTATGGAGTCTGAATTATGGTGCAGAGGCTTTGTTGTGGTGCTGTGGTTCTGTCTCAGTATATGGTATAGGGACCTGTTCTTGTGCTTCCTTTGAGGCAGTCCTGTTCCAGAATGCTGAGTGAGCATTGGCAGGGATGGCCAGAGAGCTTTGCAGGTTCACTGGCAGAACTGTGCCTGCTCTTGGGATTTGGAAATCTGCTGTCAACTGAGCATGAAGTCAGTCAACTGACCACTGTATTTATCAGATTTGCCTATCCAAGGGGAAATACAAAAAGCATGCAAGCAGCAAAACAGTGAAAACTCAATGCAGTTTTATATTTCTTGTTTTTAAAAACCTGAAAGTTAAACTGTTAGATAAACAAGGGAGTGTTACTAATTACATAAATGAGCTTGGAAGTTTATTGCTGAAAAGGTACTGAACTTGCATATGCTGACTGTACTTATGTACAGTGGTGCTCATTTGCAATTAAATTGTAGTGAAGTGCAAAATTAATATACTGTATTAAAGTACTCCTAAGATGGGTGTTCTGAAATATATCTGGGGTTGTGCCAATGAAATCCAGCAGGTTTATGACTAGTGGGTGTCCTCCACATTCATCCTACTGAAACAAATGGAGAAAGTTGCATTATGAGAAGGCAAACATACCTCCCTTGGTCAGTCGAAGCTGTTCCTCCTGCTGATGTTCATTCTCTTTGGTTTTGAGACGGCTTGTAGTGAAGGGAGGTGGCAAGTCAGCAGGCTAGCATAGAGAGGTTAAATCCTGCATCCTTTGTGGAAGACATGGGTATCATTCTTAGTTAATATGGGAACTTTGCTATAATTCTTAGGGTATCATTATCATGGTATATCGTTATTATCTAATACTGGATAAGCATTAGCAAGCCTGCTTAAAGCTTTAAATAACAGAATGCAAAGGCAGAAATATTAATGAAGAAAACTAGAATAAGGTGGATTGGTAACAGTGGTGCTTGAGAGAAGAAAGTGGCTCTCTGTAGGGTTCAGGTGAAGCAGAGAAAGCTCTTCAATTCTCATTTGGAGTGTGTGGCATAAAGGAAAGCAACTGCTGGATGCTTAAACACGCAAGGAAAATCTAAGTTACTCTCAGCAGCAAGGTTGGTATCTGTCTCACCTAAGTTTACAGCTTGGAAGGATGCACTTTTTTCTGTATTATCCAGGCTATATTTAGAGAGAGACAAGAGAAGCCGAAGAAGAATCAGTGAATCACCTGGGAAGGATTTGTTTCAGTTTTAAGTGGAAGCAAAACTATAAGGACCTAAATTACACTGTAAAGTGCTTGTCTCTTTTTACCATAAGCCTGGGGAGACTGATTCAATGACAGTGTCTGCATGGTAGACATCTACAGTGAAATGAGATAGTCCCACCAAACTCTGGGAAGCTGTAAGGAGTTTTTGATGGCACAGCATCTAGAACCTTGCTAGAAAAATGACATTTGTAGTTAATCTTTCAAGGAGTCTTGCCCCAGTAACTATCCAGAGATCTGGGAACTTTTGCGGCCGGGTTGTATTATCTCTTAGGAGTGTCAGTGGGATCTTCATTAGCGCTGGCCGGAGCCCTGTAGGCCAGAGCCTGTGTTTAACTTAAGGCACATGAGAAAACCTGGAAATTCCTGGTAGCACTAGAAAAGACTTCATGAAGTGTGTGCTTGAGAATGCCTTGAAATGAATGTAATCCAGTAGTATAGCAAGAGGACCAAATTCTGCTCTTATACCCAGTGGTGCAAGTCCCAAATCACAGGGCTGATCGTGGTGGGGTATTTCCATATTTTCCTAGCTGAGAAAAATTGGTCCCGGTGGGGGTCTCGGGTGAGGCACTGCCAGATATAGCAGCAGACTAGACTCAATGACCTCCCAGATCTCCTTCCAACTGTGTTTCTGTGTTCTAATAAACTTGCAGGATCATGTCCACCAGTCTCCTGGGCTCGACTGAGCCCTGCAACTTACTTATTTACTGGCTGCCCATTATTTATGGGGGAGCAGGAAAGCCAGTCAGTTGGATATTTTTCTCTGTTTTTATTTTAACTCTTTTCCTTTCTCTCTTTTATATCTCGTCTCAGTTGCTGTCTTTCATCTACAATTTGTTTTGACTTTGCTGATTTTTGAAGTACCCAAAATATAGTAGACAAAATTCTGCTTCAATTAAAAAGAAGGAAAGGAAAGGGAAAGGGAAAGAAAAGGCATCAGAGAGTTATTATACATATTTTATGACCTAGGAATCTCCTGGGACATCTTGAGATTTCTGAGATGTTCATCTAACTGATGGATTGATTTCCTCTCCCCCCCCAACTTCAAAGAGTGTCAGCTGGAAAGAGACACAGCAAAGTGGGAATATCAGACATGGGAGTTTCACCCAAAGGAAAAGGAGGCTGCACACCTGTTTATAGACCTAAATGGGGAACACATGATGCTTTGTGGGAATGCGCTGTGGAGCTGGTAGTGCATGGATGCAGGCGGTCTGGGCCTTATTGATTGTGAGCATATGTTGAAAAGGGAGTTAGCCAGAATGGAATTTTACCTGCAAGAAAGTGTTTATATCTTACATGACTCATAATGGCTACAACGTGTTGCCAATTACTTTTTTTCCAGGTTTCATCAGGAAGAGAGAGGTTCAGGCAGCGAGGAGAGCTGGTGTATTAAGTAAACACACACACGCACACCCCAAGCCCCTAGTTTACTGAACAAAACGCGTTTCCCGAGCAGTTTCCAGGCAGTGCCCCCGCTCCCGGAGCGGCTCTGCCGTGCCGGTGCCGGGGCAGTGCCGTGGCCGGGCGGGTCTCCCCCTGTCCAGCAGGCGGCGCGCCACAGCGCTCCGCCGCAGGGCCGCGCGGGGGCCGCGGGGCTGGACGGGGGCGGGCTCAGCGCCGGGCCCGGGGCTCGGCGCGGAGCGGGTTCGGCGGGTTCGGTCGGCGGCGGGCGGACGGGGCGGGCTGCCAGACACAGAGAATAAAGGGCTTTCCAGCCGCAGAGAAACGGACAGGCAGCAGGGCGAGGGACTTGCACTGTGGGTTGCTGGGTGCACGGCTTGGGAGAGGAGAGCAGAGCACAGCAGAGCAGAGCAGGGGAGGAAGGACGGTGAGGGGAGGCCTGCGGGACGCTTGCCCCCGCCCCCACCGACACTGCGGCCGCCTCGGAGAGTCTCCTGTGCCCCAGCACACAACCTCGCAGCAGCCCTGCGCCCCCAGCTTGCCCACCGAGGACAGATTTCTGCTGGTCTTGGCCACGCCAGGCTCACAGTACCAAGAATCTGGCTGTTAAACAACAAAAAGATGTGAATATTGCCCCTGTCTGAGCTGCATGTAGATTTATACCTGTTATTTTCATTTATTTCCCATCCCGACTGAGATGTTCAAAAGATACTTCTCTTGGTGAATGAAGTGAGAACAAGGTTTGTGAATGGCTAGAGGTGCAAGACACAGGAGGTGCACCAGATACTGACATGGAGCTGCTGAGGCAATGAGAGGTGTGAGCTCAGATTCCAGCCTCCTATTGAAGACTTGGTGATTTCTCTGTCAAGCCAGAGGAACCATGTCCTCCCCCAAGAAGGGGATACAATACTGCCCTTATCTTGTCAGTTGTTCCTCAGTCTCTGGAATCATCCATATTTTGCCTCTTGATCAGGTTTTAAAATTAATTGTTTTAAAACATACCTTCCCTGTCTTGCCCCAGCAGTCTTTTCACTGAGGGACATCTGTGAACAGCAGTGACCAAGCACTCTACAGTGCCCTGCTGGGAGGCAGAGCAGGTGTACTGAGGTTCAGGATCTCTCTGTGCCTTAAGGGAGCTGTGGAGGATAAAGTGCCACTCTGACATATCTTCTGCAAGTGATAGCAGTTTAATTACAAGCTGGATGCGGCTGGAATGGTTTATGCCACTGACAACACTAGGGCATCATATTATCAGCCTTTGCCAGACCTTACATGCTGTTTTATAAAGGATGAAGAACATGTGATCAGTGCTGCTGTTCCCTCTGTGCAGACAGTCCCTGTGCCAGTCCTTCTCTGCTTATAGAGCACCTGTGGAGAGGACACACAAGGACATCTCAATCCTCCCCTGCCCTGTGCAAGAGGTGTCTACTGGAAATCTGTTTCCTACAGAAGGGGAGGAGGCAATGCAGGATCTTCTGACTCTTTGTGAACTTGGGGTTGGGCTTGCACTTCAGAAATTGCAGAAGTGATTCAGGGAGTGCATTTGCACTTTATAATTGAGCAGAAATTCCAGCGCAGTCACTGTGTGTCTGCTCATTTCCTGGACAGAAGTACCTGGTTCTCTCTTTTAAATGCTGTAAATCCCATAGGGAGCTCTGCTTATGCATTGGCTTCAGCATGTATCCTTATGGCAGAGAATTTGCCTCGGAGTTGAATCTGTGGGACTGGGTACCCCTCTTTGATGTTCCTTGATTTTCAGATGCCAGCTGTAGTGAATAGCTTTGAAATTTTTACCAAGACAGAACTCCCCTTTGCCTTGAAGAGGACATCCAGCCTTGGGCATGAACTCACAATTGCTTGCAGTAAAAAGAGCTTGTTCTTGTTACTGTCAGGTTGGTCTGGTTGGTTGGTTTTCAGATTGAGCCAAATGGTTATTAAAATGGATGGTGCTCCTGTTCTGGCAAGCTGTCACTTCACAGCGTTCCCAGTTCTCTCACGAGTGTGCTTTCCCAGCCCGCCTTCCTAGGGGCAGAAGATAAGCCAGCAGAAAACATTCTCTATAGCCAAATGTTTGTCTGAAGTGTCCCAGCTACTCTGCAATGATTAGCATCTTTTCTCCTATGCCTTTTCTACATTCACATGTTCCCATTGCATCTGAAATTGAATGATAAAATATTTTCAAGTAACAGAAGCCACATATGGCATCAGATTATTGCAGTGTGAGTGCTACTCTTTACTCTCGGCATGCATGTGATAAGTGGGGTGTCACAGTTCAAATAACAAGGCAGGACACCAGGTGCACTTAACATCTCATAGATGGAAAAGGACCAACCATGCACACACCTGCACCAACCCCAAATACTCTGTTTCAGTTTATAAAACCAAAAATCACTATGTGAGCACCACAAGTACGTGACTCCACAGTACTGATACCGCATCTGAGTGTACCCCAGTCCGTTTTACTGACAGCCTGCCAGGGAGATGGGAAAACCGTATGAAGGAATTGGCTTGGGTGGGTCAGGGCTGTGACATTAGGCCTTCTTATGGTAGGGGAGAAGCAGCAGACAGGCAAGGAGGATTTAGCCTGGCCTTGCATGCAGTGTGGATGTCTTTTTTTCCCCAATCGACTGTTTCCCTCTACTGCATGTAGGTGACCAGACTAAATGGGTTCGTTGCCTCATTTGACTGCGATAACCCCACTGTTTTCAGGGTGGTTAGGTACTACCTCCAGTCAGTAGGGAAGTGAGTGAGTTTCTGAGTGTCAGAAACAGCACAGAAGTCACAAGGCTGCTGGCTTCTCCACCTACCCTCACTGCCATCAGAGTTTTTGTTTGGGACAGTCTATATCTTCCTCCTTCCACCATGGAGGAACATTTGCCTTAGTGGCAGCATGCTGGCACCATTGAATCATTCGGGGTGAGAAATCAGGATTTCAGTGAAAGTTCAACTGGTTTATAAGGGAGACACAGGATTTTCTAAGTTGTGCAGCTCTTGCAGGTGCCCTGAACAAGCAGTGACCCAGACAAACCCTGTCCCTGCCGCACAGTGTGCCAAGCAGAGGTGAGTGCATAAGAGCAGTGCAGGGCAGTGGCAGCCAAGCTGAACCCTGCCCTTGTCATCCCTGGACAATGGACTTCTTTGCCAGGGGCTAGGAAAGAGCTGGTTATTGCAGGTGGCTGCAAAGGTCCCTTCTGTACCTATTTGCCCTGTAGCCCTCAGCACTCCCTCCAGAGCACTATTGTACCTGTTCAGCCCGGTTGTAGGACCTGAGTACCCACGGCAGATAACCTCCAGGGATACCTTCTTGCTGGAAGATAGAGTTAACCAAAACAAAATGCTGCTGGGTACCATGCATCTTCTGAATTAATCATCTGAAAGAGCATATTTCTATCAACAATAAATAAAATTAGCATTGCCAACAAAATGCCTTTTCTTTTTCCTAGGGTAAAAGACATGCATGTCATTCTTGCAAAAATATTCTCTGGCCTTTGGTTTCACAGATCAAGATGTGGATTATGCCCTTAGCCATGAAAGAGATTATCTTCTCAATGTTTATGAATTCATTTTAGTCCGTAAGCATGGCCTAGTCAAGAAAATTGGAGTATGGCCATAACAAGATTCATCTATGGGTCCCTTCCAACTCAGCATATTCTGTGATTCTCTGATCTCTTCCCATGGCATCCATCTGAATGCTGGTCAGTTTACGAGTAATATATTAAAAAAAAAGGTTTCTCTAAGTGCCATTGCTACAACTTCACATTGGAAATGATACAAATATTAAGTTTGGTTTGCATTTTGCATCCCCTCTGGATGACTGATCCTGCAGGCAGGAATGACCAGCACATTGGCACATTGCCATGGGGCTGTGGGAGGCAGAGCCTGCTCCCCTACTCCACCTGCATGGCTCTGGAGGTTTCCTGTTTGCATAACTAATCTGACACTTCTGCGAGAGCACTTTGAATAAGAATGTATCACATCTTAAAGTGTAAAGTACACCACACTTTCTCCCTGAAATCATGCTAAATGGAGAGTCTTCTGTGAATTCTGATAGATGTGAGATTAGGTTCTGTGTCTGTATTTTGGGACTCTGCCCAGGCTTATTCACAATGTCTTACCTAGCTTTCTATCTTTTTCTCTTTTCTGCCCTTTTAATTTTTGCCTAGTACAGGTTTTGGTTGGCTGTGCAAGATCTCAAGAAACAACCTCTACAGGATGTAACCACCAGAGTGGAAGAAATCTGGCAAGAGTTTCTAGCTCCTGGGGCCCAAAGTGCTATCAACCTGGATTCCCACAGCTATGAGAAAACAAGCCAAAATGTCAAAGACCCAGGGAGATATACATATGAAGATGCACAGGTTTGATTTTGGTTTTATAGAACTACTATCTTTTACTGTGATATTCCACTATCACATTGTCACTGCTCACTTGTAAGTAAAGGAGATGCACAGTTTGAAGTGACTTTGAGGATATCTATTCAAGCTGGGTAAATGATATTTTCGTTGAATCTATCTGTTACAACAGGCTAATGCTCCTCTGGGAACAAATGTTCCAAAATCTACAAGTCTGCAAGGCACTACAAGCTGGAGCTATGTCTTAGAAAAAGCATAGATGAAAGAGTGCTATAAAGTTCAGTTTGTGTCTCTGTACTCCCTGTCACCAAATTCAGACATATTTACAGAATGCCTGATATCATATCAAAATCCTGGCTAATACTCTTTTTCTATCATTTATTTACTTATAGATAATTATATTCCCCCATCAAATCCCAAATGCAGCAGCTCCCTCCAACACAGCAAGAAATTTGTCCACCAGACAATGCCTTAGAGTAATGATAGGACAGTAGGCAACATAGTGTGCTTAATCCTTCCCTCCTAAGGGCCCCAGATTTTTCAGGGAAATTTTACAGATAAACCGTACAGGGAAAATGCCTTTAGGAAAATAGATAATTTGAAAAAAACTGTTACAAGCAAGGATAAAGCTGCATAACCTTCTGAGAAAGTGAAAATACAATTTTGTAATTGTTATAAAAGAAAAAGGAAGAAGGGATCATTTGACAAATATTACCAGGGACACACATAAAACATATCTTCCTCATAATCATTTTTTTCAAAGCATGTAGTAAAACTAACAGCAAATGAAAAGAATTTCTGTTCTGTTTTTTGGGGATTTTTTAATTGGCATTCAAAGGCAGTTCTTCAAAATACTCCACTAACAAAATATTTCCATCTCAGGGGAGATGTTGTGGACCACTTATACAAGGTTAGGCAATGAATTTTTCAAACCAGCATCATTTACTGTATTTTCCTGAATGCAGTCTTATTCCTTGGGGCCAGAATAGAGGGAATGTACGCAAAGTTTCAAGGAGATCCCCTGTGAATATCAAGCAACTTAAATGTCCTTTTTAAGCTGAGAAATACAGGAGTATGAAAACATTCTGGCTAAGATGTATTCTTTGCTTGGCAGTATAATGAACTCCTTACAACACCTGAAAAAAATAATGATGGCAAAATGCAGGGTTGAGCAGATAGGTGAATAATGGGGGAACTGATTAAATTGGTAAGTCGAAGTACTAAGAGTAAGAAGGATATTTAGACAATGAGTATTTAGTTAAAAGAAGACAGAGCATTTAGGCTCGAACTGATCAGTTCACAATGTAATTGCCATTCAAAGGGAAGTTGATAAAATCAAGCTGGAGCCCTTGCAGTTAAACTGCAATTTTAGATCCTTGGGTAAATTTTATTTCAGGGAATTTTTATGCTGAGAGATGTCCTCAATTCATTTGTTGTGGTTCACGGACACAGAAGTATGAGGCAAAGGTAGACCTTCAGACCCAGCTATGGTTATCTTGGAGACTTGAGTCTATGCCAAGAGAGGGTAGCACAATGGAAGGTGAGCCCAGTTACCTTCATGTGCAGTGGACTTCTGGTAACTCTCCAAGGGCCAAGCAAGCTGTTTGTGACTGCTTGATCAGATAGCTGAGAAAATCTGTCTAACAAAAGCAGGAAGAAGCAGGACACTGCTGAAGGATGTAGTGCCCTGACAGAGCTGAAGCAATATGGACTTTTACTGGCTCATCCAGGAGAGGGAACAATTTTTTTTGCACATCCACTTCATGGGACCCAATGTAGGTCACCCCAGCGCACTCTAAATCTCCCAGATACCGTCCTGGTGTCTCCCCCAGCTCACCCCTGCCACCTTGGAGGCTCTTGTCTACAAATCTGCAGCAGCTGCCTTATCTTGGCAACCTGGCACCAGGAGCCCATGGGAGCTCTCACACATCCCACATTCCTAGGGGCTCAATCAGACACAACCAGTCAAAACACTCCCAGTTGGAGAGAAAATGAGTGTTGTCCTGTCCTATGTAGCTTTAGCACAAAGAGGAAAACAACTGAAATGTCGTTGTAAATAAAGAACAAGAAAAAATTTAGTCTACTCAACAGAACATTCTTTGAATGCCTGCAACTCTGAGACACTAAGAGGAAAGAAAAATGTTAGCTGAACTAAAAAAAATAAATTGTTACTCCTGCAGTGAAAAAATAGTAGAAGGTGATGTAGCACTCTAGTCCTGATTTGAGAGACCCACAAAATGCCAGTTCTGTATAAAAAGGTCTGGAAATGAACACATTGTTGTCCTTGGGAAGGAGAAGGTGTAGCAGAGCACATTGAGGTGAGCAAATGCATTATCACAGTAAGTTGAAAACAAAGAATTGTCTGTTATCAGGTGCTTTATCATTGTGCCTTTCCATGAAAGATTTACATTGTGTTTCCAGCTACGTCTACATGGATGTGCTTCTTTGCACAACCTTGGCTGCAAGCCCCAAAAAGCTCTCCCAGATGCTGTTCAACCGTCTGGTAAGACAAGTAGTGAGAAGAAAACAGGGAGAAAAGGGGGCTCCAGGCAAACATGCCTCTCACTTCAAACCTCTTTGTCCCCAGGCCACTAATGGTCTGAAAGCAAATGGTTCCTCTGTTTAAGGAAATCTCATCTCCAAATCTCAGTCCTCAAAGGGCTCCTAATCCAAACCTGAATTTGATATGCATTTATTCTCTCAAACAGACCTCTAAGATGGATTCTTGTACCACAGAAGCAAGTGTTTGTTTTGCCATTTCCCCGTCTCAGCTTAAGATACTTGCCCTGCTGTGTGTCCCTCACTGCTGCTGCACTCTGCAGTCCTGCACCAGGTCTGTGCTTGCACAGAACTGTCTCTTGCTGTGTCTCCCACATGTGGCATTGCCCATCCCATGCCCCGCTCAAGCCGTGCCAACACGCCTGGGCTCTGAGCAGAGCATGCTGTACTGACTCAACCTGCGCTGACCTCCCCCCAACTCTCCAGTTTGTTGGTGTCCCCGATCCTCAAGCAGCACAGCACAGCTCCTAGCTCTGTCCTGATCATCAGCTCTGCCAGCTCTCTTGATCTGCAGCACCTTTTGTCATTTTAGTGCTGGGCCTCTCCAGAGGGGAGCCTACCAATTTAGCTGATTATTTTCTGCTCTTAAACAACTGTCCTCTGAGTAAAATATTATGATTATCAAACCATTTTCACTGGGGAGTAAAGCAGCTTTTAATACAAGGGGCACCATCAGGAAAGGTCAGTTCAATTAAACACTGAAGTACTTAGCAAGATGTAAGCTCCCACAGGAGTTATCAGCATCAGTGAACAACCAATGTGGGGACCCGCAATATGAAGCAGGCACTGGCAGCTCTGGAAAGTAAATAGGCTTGGGTCCATCTGAATGGCCTCTTTTGGCTAATGAAGCTGCTGACAGCCAAAGTAATTCATCTTTAACATGGAAACATAGAGCTGTGAGTGTGACAATTATGGCTTATCTGTACAACACATTATTAGTTTTTTAGCCATTCTCCCTGTACCCCCGTCAAGCATCTCCATGCCTCCCCTGAAATGTCTTTCTGCCTTCAGAAAGTCTTTAATCCTTTCCTCAGTCCCTTGGTGTTGAGAGCTAGTATCACAAGAATGCATTATGTCTCCTCATAGTAATGTTTTTTGGGACATTTATTCTGCGTTTATTGGTAGGCTTCAGACCCAGGTACTCTCGAGTAAGGTGTCTTTGGAATTGCTTTCCTGTTTTATTTATTTTTATTCTTTAATAAGTAAAATAGTTTTAGATTGACATTCCTTTACATGAACTAATCAGCTAATGTGTCTGTGAAGATGATGCAGAGAAATTCAGTTCTAATCAAGGCTCAGTTAGGGATTTTAACTGTACTTTGCAGATCCTTGGCTAATTCCAGAACAAATTTAGACTATAATGCCAAACTGCAGACAACTTAAACCAGAAATGTACCTGTCCCAGATATTAATCATGGAATAATTTGGTTTGGAATGCACCTTTAAAATTCATCTAGTCCAACTCCCTGTAATGAGCAGAGACATCTTCAACTACATCAAGTTGCTCAGAGTCCAACCTGACCTTGAATGTTTCCCAGGATGGGGCATCCACCACCTCTCTGGACAATTTGTTCCAGTGTTTCACTACCTTCATTGTAAAAAATTTCTTCCTTAAACATAATCTGAGATTTGAGATTTGGGCCCAGTTCATGCTCTCAGCTGTCCCTGGTGTTGGTTCAGTTTTTTCTGGACTGTGATAGAGATACGAGTCCTTACAGGATTCATCAGTGAGCAGTCATCTCGCATTCTGGTTTGGTCAGGAAGCTGGGAGTGTTGACAGAACTTGACAGGATCCTGTTGAATTCAAAACCAAACTCCAGGTTTAAGCAAAGATCTCTTGGAAGTGGAATGTCATTTTCTACCAAGAAGGGAAGATGAGGGGTGACTTTTCTTCTCCTGACTTTGTCTTTTCAAACATGCACAGGATGTGAAAGCAAGCATGTAGAGAGTAGTGTGTGTCTGGTGCCTATTCAGTAGGCATACAGAACTCTTTGTAAGTCTTGAGCAAAATAACAGCATGGAAGGAAAATGTGGAAATAATCGTTCATTGTGTGTCTGTATCATCTTTCATGTAAGAACTTGATGAAACATTATTCCTATTTTCTTAAAGTTTCACCCAGTCACCCCAGTTACATGCACGCCTGTAAAGGATGGTGACTAAGCATGGAGAATCAGGATAACAGCAAAGCAGCTCCGGTTGGCAGTGCAGGCAGCTAGCAAGGGAGTATGGGGCAGACCCAGGTGCTCTTCCTGGAAAGGGGGCTCAAGTCCACCTGAGCCAGTGCTGCTCAGTGCTGCTGGCACCTGCACTACAGGGAATTGAAAGCACTGCTGCACTGCATCAGTATTTATACGTGGATGGTGTGCCCAGGGTTCCTGGAAGCTTCTGACATCCTGGACCTTCCTGTGGAGGTTAGGGAGTGCACAAGGACCTGACCTTTATTCTC